TCCGTCATCGGTGGGCTCAGGCTGATGCTCCGTACCGCGGGGAGATGGTGGGCTGGGCTCTGGGTCCGAAGTGGATCCGGCGAGATCATCCACGGGGCCGATGGTGAGTGGCGACCCATTTCTCGCCAGAGTCCACTCCACGAAGGCGGCGAATTCCTCCCGAGGACCATCTTCGGGCGACAACGCTCTGCACTCGGCGTTCAGGCTTGCGTCATAGAAAAAGCAGAGCGCGTCGTCCGGATAGCTGGTGATGTTCGCGACCAACAGGAACAGTTTGGTATGGTCCTCGAGAGCTTTGTCTCCCTGCTCCAGCACCGCTAACTCAGCCGGCGCAGTTTCTTCAGAGCAGCTGAAGGAGCTCTGATGACGGTGCAGCTGTTTCATGATTGGCCAGATTCACCGCATAATAACGAGCATGTGTGTTTCGGGTTCACTCTAACATACCCAATTCCAATAATGCTCACAAATCTGTGTTTTAGAACAATAAAAGCAATTAGGGATGCACCGATACCATTTTTTCAGAACTGATCCCATACCAAAAATTCTGAGTATCGGCCGATACCGATCCGATACCAGCACTGAATTTCTACACCTCAGTGTGTTGACCTGATCATCACTGTTTTGTGTGTTAAACACAATCTACTAAATATAGACAACTTCATTATACAGAAAAATAACAAATGAAAAAATATATAATCATAATCTATGACAAAAAATATATATATATACAGTATATTCTATATATAACTATACCATATATAGTATGTATAGTATATGATTTTCTGCGATTAATCGCATTATGCACAAAATTCAATAATGAATTCAAAAGTAGTGTATTCTGCTTTTTTTTTCTTTTTTTTTTTTAAGTACTGCTTTTTCCTTTCCGTACAGATCGCATTCTGCGTGCCGGGGGGGTCGCCCTCTGTATAAATCGTGTTTTCCCCCTGGGGGGCCCCCTCCATCGTTAGGCCCTTAGAATCGTTCTAACCCTCCCCCCTTACGGCGCCGCTGTGTTTGACTAGGGTGATCGCTCCGTGCCACGCTCGGGCACGGTTCATTTAGCCATCCCTGGCTCGGTTGGAAGAGGTGGGCGAGAGCGCGGTTCAGTTGGGCTCGGGCGCGGTACGCATGTAGTGCCGGAGCGCTGAACTTCTGATACGTGTAGCATGATTGCGTGAACATTTCTGAGTGGCAAAAGTGATAGAACTCTAAAGCAATATATTGTGAGAGGGCCATGTGTTACCGCGTCCCAAATGACTCAAAATAACAAAGCACAAAGTTAACAAAACTATGCACTCCACTGTGCTGAGCGAGAGCGCTTCTCTGCTGTCTTCACGTGCTATCGGAATTGGTTTGTCTGTATGTGAATTCAGAGCCAGTGAGCAACGGACTTTCATAATAATAAAAAAACTGTGCGAATAATGCGCGATAAAATAATTGTCGGCGTTAATCAATTAATGCGTTATATACTATAAATTAAAAGATAACATAAGATAGGACAGAGCAAGAAAGGCTATTAATAATCTTTCATTGCCAAAAGTATTATAATACGAAAGGCTCAATACAGGGCGAAGCGCTTATGCGCATCCCGTGCACAGAATGATGCGCTTGAAGCAACACAGAATTAATCTTAGGTATTCCAATATTTAATAACACGTTGTTAACACAGTTGCAACTTTCGATTTTATTTAATGAGCTAACATGAACTAAGACGTATTTTTTAACAAAGATTAATAACTTCTGTAGCAAATGTAGCTATTGCTCATTGTGAATGTTAATGCATAAACTAAGGTTAACTAATGAGGTCTTATTGTAAAGTGATACCTATTGGCCTTTATAGTTCTTTTGCACTTTAATCTGTGTAAAACTTTTAACTTTATACATTTTTCTGTATTGCTTTATTGCATTTAAATGTTCAGTTATTTTTGTTATAAGAAAAAAAGTTATTAAACCTGTTATACTGTATTATGACAGCACTTTTTTTTTAAACAAAATTTCAATATCGTGATAATACCGTATACCGTAATAAAAGCATTAGCAATTAATCGCAACATGAAAATTTGATACCGGCATATCCCTACTTGACTGTCGAAACGTGACACGCAGTTTGAATGCTGAATGGAGGATGACAGACAGCCACAGCGGAGAGAAGAGTTTACATGAACTTGACTTAAATATTCACCTACCTCACATTAAACTATGGAATGGCTTCAGAACTCTTGGAATATAGTGCACGAAAACTTTATGGTGCTTTATATTTTTAATTATAACAATAACAGAATAGTATACGCACAATATCGGATTTGGATCGGTCTCGTCTGACCGAAACCCAATCCAGCAGAAAAGGCCAGTATCAGAGCCGATACCGAAAACACTGATCAGAGCATATTTACCCCCACTTTACTGGTATTTAAATAGAATATATTTATGTTGAACTTTATTCTTGAACAGATGGCGCTGTATTAAGCAGTATAAAAAGTGTCTCTGTTGCTCATGAAAACGTTTCTGAAACATCTGAGTATTTGACAAATATTGCATTTAATTCACTTCATCTGTGATAGAGTATGCAAACACCGCGTGAACACTACCGGGAGCAGAAAGTGTCCGACTTGACGTGTTCATTTTCAACTCCGTCCCGACTGCCCTCGGCTAATCTCATTGATCGCCGTCTGTAGCCATGGTTCAAGTAAAAAGTATATAGTATACTATAGGTATATACTATAAGGGTGTGACATCACATGAAAACTATGAATTATGCTTACATCCATTGCATCCACTAATTCTGTTTTTGTTGTCTTGGCAGAAATGTGTGAACTAGCGTTCCACAAGCATTCTGGATTTGAGCTTGATACACACATGCTGAGAATATGACTTGCTCAGAGGAAGCAAAGGCACAATTTGCAGAGATAGAACTGCTATTAAGTATGTTTCCGAGTGAAGAAGAGTTACAAGTGGATGAGCTTTCACATGCAGAGCTCAGAGCTTATGTGGAGGGCACAGCTCATAATCCCCCCAGCATCAGACCCCAATTCACCATCAAGCTGAAGATGGAGAACCCTGCTGTAAGTATGTGAAATACATTAAAATACATTAAAACATTATTTGTTCCTCATCATTTAATTTTGTTTTCAATCTCTTTTCTTTCCTGATAGGTGAGCATTACATTGCTGTGCACCTACCCAACTGACTACCCAAAAGTGTTGCCAGATATTGCTGTCAGGTATTTAAAGGGGTGGTTGATTGTGATTTCACTCTTTTGAGTTTAGTTAGTGTGTAATGTTGCTTTTTGAGCATAAATAATATCTGCAAGGTTATGACTCTGAAAGTTCAATGCAAACGGAGATATTGGGTGGGTTGCAACAACCAGGATTAAATTAAACAATGTCTAGAGCTAATCAAGGATTTGTTGATTTGGGTTTTATTTTAAATCGAGTTGTGATGCACCACTTAATTTTAAACTTAGATTAACAAATTGGGGATTAAAATTCCAACCTGCTATTAAAACCTCCATCTACGATTAACTTTCTCCGCCATGATGGATTCATCATGTAACTAAACAGCAAAAATTTTAATATTCCTTATCCTCTGTCTCTGACATAATTTGCTTTTGTCAAACGGCTGATCAAGCAAGCAATGAAAACATTGAGGCAGTGCATACGGATTTCATAATCTATATATTTGTAGTATATTAATGGAATATAGTTTATGACTAGGGATATGCCGGTATCAAATTTTCATGTTGCGATTAATTGCTAATGCTTTTATCACGGTATATGGTATTATCACGGTATTGACATTTAGTTTACAAAAGTGCTGTCATAATACAGTATAACAGGTTTAATAACTTTTTTCTTATAACAAAAATAACTGAACATTTAAATGCAATAAAGCAATACAGAAAAATGTATAAAGTTAAAAGTTTTACACAGATTAAAGTGAAAAAGAACTATAAAGACCAATAGGTATCCCTTTACAATAAGACCTCATTAGTTAGTAATTAATTACTCATTAGTAATTTGCTATAATAAATTTATTAAGTTATTATTTATATAAAGTTTTTAATCTTTTTTATTTAATAAAGTTATTAATCTTTGTTTAAAAAATACAAGTCTTAGTTCATGTTAGCTCATTAAATAACACAGTTGCAAGTTTCGATTTTAACAACCTGTTATTAAATATTGGAATACCTAAGATTAATGAATGTTCAGAAGAATGTTTCATTGGCAGTTTGTGTTAACTAATGCATTAACTCATGTTAACTAAGGAAGCCCTAATGTAAAGTGTGACCGAACAATAAAGAATCAAAACAGGCACAAGTCTACTTATGACAAACAACCGAGATGAGAGAAAACAACTGGCATGAGTCACGGAGTGACCTCTGCTCGTGACAGCGTCGCCCCGTCCGTTCAGTAGCCGCGTGGAGCGGGCGTGAGAAACGAGAGGCACGGCCGCGATCACTGGCACTCACTTAATCATCACCGCTGCCGTTAAATGCTATAGCTACAGCATATTCATATCTTCTTTGTCGTACGCCGAGATGCATCGAGATGAGTGATGGATCCACATCACCAACTCGATAGCAGACATAAGTTTACTACGGGTTGCCAAGACCCTCACAATCTGCCAGTTCAATGCACTTTAATTTTAATTTTAATTTGTAATAAACACCTCTCTGAGACCTGACGACTCACCCACTGCTTCTGTCTTTGTTCAATCAGCCACATATTGTAACTGTAGGTGCACTTTATTTTATTTAAACCTCCTCACCTAAATTTTAAGTTAATCGCTAATTGAGATTTAAATCAGAGTTTAAAGTTATGGAGCAACAGGATTAAAGTTAATCTATCTTAAATATAAAATAAATCCAGGATCAAAATGATGGTTTAAATGTAAATCTGCTTATTTTTAAACAAGGTTTAAAGTTTGGTGCAACAGAATTATTAGATAAACCTTGATTTAATCTAGATTTAAACTTAATCCTTGTTGGTGCAACCCACCCATTGTGTTTAATGCCTACAATAATGGCTCGTAGGGACTACAGCGAGCTACTTCCAGGGTTGGTGACATCACAAACCCAGAAATTTACATAAACCCCGCACCAGGAACATGCAACAAAGGGGGCGAGGCCATGTTGCCCCACTTTAGAGAAGAGGAAGAGTTGTTGCCATGTCGTCAAAACTAGGGGTGCACGAAAAAAATCTATATATGAATCGCGATTCTGTCTTCTAACGATTCTAATGGATTTACAAATTTCAAAATCAGTGTTCTAAAGCAGCAGTTCTTAATCCTGTTCCTTGCGTCCCCCTGCTCTGCACATACTCTGCTCGGCATCTCTCTCTCTCTCTCTTTTATTCAGATCACTAGCTCGTCAGCTCCATCAGTGAACTGTGTTCCAATTATACACTTTTATGTGTATAGACTGGCAGATATTTTTCACATAGCTACGAGAAGCGTTAAACATGGATGCGCACGTGGTTGCCGTAGTAGCGAGCAATACTTGCTGGCAAACACTTCTTACTGTTACAAAAATGCTGCAACGCAATCATGTATTCTGCTGTATTAAAGCTTTAATCAGGATGAAACAGTATATTAGAAGCTAACATGAGCAGTAGCATTTGCAACAGCGTACCTAAAAGTATGAGACAACAACAAACAAAAAAACATACCATTCTGAAACGTCCTGTAAGAGCTGTGCTTGCACGGATCCCCTTCACTAATATTCTCTGGGTCTAAATCAGGCTCAAATTTATAAGCAATATTGAAGACGTTATACTGGCTTCATATCCAGCAAGCTAAACACTTCTACTCAGTAAATGGACTTGACACCAGGAAGTCGTAGTTCGGATGATTTACTGAGTAAAATGTGTAGAACTGTAAAATAAAACAAAGATTGTATAAATAAACTGTTACATGAAAAATGGTGTCCAATTTTATCTAACATGAGATAATTATGCAAAACGTTTACACAGCATAAATAAACTGAGAGATAAATGCTTAATGTGAGCTTAAGCAGTTCAAAGATCTTATAATATAAACAGAACTACGTATTTCACAATCACGTATTATGAAAACGACATATTTCCATATGTAGTCCTTGATAAACATACAGAATAACATAAATCAACGATAATCAAACTTTACTTACAGGCAGTGCCTGTTAAGGTTAAGTGTTGTTAATATGATGGAATGATGCAACAACAAAACTGCGCTATCATGTGCTGTGCACGCTATTCTTCTGAACCCAGAAACTGAATAACATAAATTCAAGCGGTAGAATACAAAATGACCAGTAGGGGAGCCAAAAACAAGCTAAAACAGGCAGAGCCAGAACACTCCCCGTCTGGTATCTTAAAGATACCATTAACACTAACAGTTACTAGACTACATAGTCTGGTCTGAAGAAAGAAGGTATACTAATTCGGATATGGGTCTGTGATAAACTTTTGTTGTACCATGCTGAACAGTTTTCACCTCTACTTTTCTCACTAGACCATCTGTACTGGGAATAGCCTTCACTGTTATCCCCATTGGCCACTCATTCCTTTTGACATGTTTGTCTTTGAGCAGAACAATGTCACCTTCTTTGATGTTTGGATATCTGTGAAACCACTTGCGACGGCTCTGAAGAGTTCCAAGATACTCCTTCCTCCACCTATTCCAGAATGTTTCTGCTAGGGCACTGTTTCTCAACCCTGGTCCCCAGCACTGCACATTTTGTGTGTCTCCCTAATCAAACACACCTGATTCAACGCTTGGACCCGTTTCCACTGGCACTGGAGCATGTCCTTCTTGCTGAAATCTTCTGGTGAAGTCGGGAGATTACCAGCTTTTTGTGTCAGAAGCATAGAAGGTGTTAGAATGAAAGGGAATTCAGGATCTGTGGAGACTGGAACTAGAGGCTGTGCATTAATGATGGCTGTCACTTCAGACATGAAGGTCACTAAGACTTCATGGGTAAGCTGCGTGTACCTGTCTTTCAGGAGCATTGAATCCAGGATTCGTCTTGTTATTCCAATCATAGGTTCCCAGGCGCCACCCATATGAGAAGAGTGAGGTGGATTGAAGACCCAGGAACATCTTTGCTCAAGGAGGTATTCTCTCACTGCTGTTTGTTCATTCTCACTCATTTTAAGCTCTCTAGAGGCACCAACGAAATTCGTCCCACAGTCGGAGCGCAGCTGCTTGGCCGGACTTCTAATAGAAAAGAATCTTCTGAGAGCATTAATGAGACTTGAAGAAGTCATTGACTCAATCACCTCAATGTGAACTCCTCTGGTACACATGCAAGTGAACAACACTGCCCACCTCTTACTATTGGCTTGGCCACCCCTTGTGCGGCGTGTGATCACCTCCCATGGCCCAAACACGTCTAAGCCAACATAGGAAAAGGGTGGATCCATCTGCAGTCTTTCCGCTGGTAGGTCGGCCATCGTTGTTCTTCTGTTTTGCCTCTTAGTTTACGGCAGGTGACACATTTCTGGATGATACTGTTAATGCATCGCTTAGCCTCAATTATCCAAAAGCCATTAAACCTTATGCTGATGGTGAGCTGGGATGATGAGGGGATTTATTTCTTTATCTCCTAGCTCTGCTTGCCTGATGCGTCCGCCAACTCTTAGCAACCCATTGCTTTCAATGGCTGGATTCAGCTTTAAAAGTGAACTATGTGAGGGAATTTCACCTGTGGAAGTGATGCATTTCAGCTCCTCCTGATACACTTCATGTTGTACACTCTTGATAATTATTTCTTCAGCTTTCAGAAGATCGCTTACAGATAGGCCCTTTGAGCACAAATGCCAACCAGTGCACTGACTAGCATCACTTGGTTTAATGAAACAATAGGCAATGTGATGCAGTTGAGCCACGGCTCTGACGACTGTTGTCCACTTTGAGAAAATCTTTTAGTACCTAACTGATCCACTTTGATGTGGGTAGAGAAGACATGAACCTCTGAGCGAATTTCAACATCTTCCTCTGGGTCAACAAGGTCGTATGAGCGCGGGCAATCGAAAGGAGGCTCTGATGGATAGTGCAAAAATGAGGGTCCTGTGAGCCAGGTTGTGGCCTCAATCTTGGCAGATGGAACAGAACGAGAGCCATGATCGGCAAGATTTTGCTCAGAGGAAACATACCTCCATTGTTCAGGCTGAGTAGATTGTCTGATGCGATGCACTCTGTTGCTCACATATACATGGAATCGTCTGAACTCTATAGATGTAG